AAATGCCTGTTTTGCTGTCTTTCCGATGCTGGCTGCTTTGACATCCTCATCTGTGTCTATGCTGCCACCTGTAGTTGAAACGATGCTGCCTAGGTAGGTAGGTAGGCAGGTAGGTAGGTAGGTAGGTGAGTGAGCGGGTGAGTGAAAGAGACAACTTCGTTTATGTTTCTCCCTTTGATGGTGACTGATGATTGTTGTTGTTTTTGGTTGGGTATCTTCGTCACCTCCGTCTTGTCTATGTTCACTTGAAGGAAGTCCCGTCTTTGTTGGCCTGTCTCTTCTGCCAACTTGTTAGTTTTCACCTGTAGATCTTCCAGTTTGTGCGACAAGACATCAGACATAGATCATCATCGGAGAAATCTAAATCTTGTGGAGTCTTTTCATCGGTCCAGCCAGCCAGCGTTTACCCCTCTTCTTTCTCCTCACAGTGTGTTGCATGATCCAGTCAACCACAATCAGGAAGACCATTGATACCGAATGTCTATCCTTCATTGAATTTCCCATGATCAGCACCTTCAATGTAGGGTAACTGACACCTATGTAGGTGTACATGTGTAAATAAACAGTGTGCCATTTCAACAAAACAATACATATCTGCTATAAAATCACTCAATGCTTAAAGACAATCGTTGTGGAGACGTTATTATACTTGATTGTTTTAATTGTCATCATCATCACGATCATTATTATATTCTGTAGTGCTGATGGGGTTTAACGATAAAAATCGCAAAAAATAAAAAATTTGTTGAAAGTTTTTTACACCTGCAGGTTAGACAAATATTTAACTTTATCAAAATGCTACTCATTTAAACCTCCAAAACAAAATAAATAAATAAACATCTGTCAATATTCCATCGGATTTTTTTACAGATACATTGTATGGTGTGATCTATAACATCACTACCCCCTTCTTTTCCCCTAGTAGTAAAATAGTTCAATTTGTAGGTTTATGGAGATTTATTTATTGACTTCAAGTTGATATTCATCGCTTACAGACATCAGTTGGAGAATCATTAAAGACCTAAGGGCACTAGACAACTGTTTCGTCCTACTGTGCGACTCCTCAGCAGTATGCACCCTCGATCCAATTAAGTTTTCTCTGTGAGCAGGTTATAATTGAGTCACTGAGTAGGGAATTCAATGGCCCACATTTTTCTACTTCAGTCAGTTTGTAGCATATAGCGCGACCTTCATCCAAAATCCTCATTAAGTATTCGTCTTCACGTACAACTTTGTTTGTTTCACCAGTCATGACTTCTCATAGGAACTTCAAAGAATCTCATCTGAAAGAAAGTCGTTAATTAGCACTGATGAATACCAACTGGAAATATTAAAATATCCTGTGAATTAACTGAATGGACTTCGTAGTTGGTGCTTTGTTTGATTATTGAATTGAAATGGATCAATTCAATTTAATTTTCATTTTGTAGTTTAATAGTATTCACGATGAGATAAAGATAAATAACCTTGAGGCTAGTAGTTCAAAGCCTGCCACCACTTACTTAATATTCAGCACAGCTCCGATCATCACCCGCACCACAATAAGTGATAAAACTTGATATTTTGTACACGGGAATAGTGTCAACACCTCAAGTTGAACCCTGACTGCGATACTCTTCACACTGTCAACTTCTTTCCTAGTAGTACCAACGTACACCTTCTTGTCCTAATCCGCACCAAGTTGGACCAGATAGATAGACAGCTAATTCACTAGTAACCCATTTGAGTCATGATGGATCATGTGTACAAGGATGATGACGATCCTAACGAAGGTTGACGCCGGAATGATTGAGAATAACACAACACTTTTCATATATCTGTATGGATTGTTAGGTTATTAACCAAATTTTCTATCAGTGTGTTTTATAGGTTATTGATGACTTACGATTTCTGAAACAGCCATTCTATTGACGCGGTTCTACTGCCTTATGATGTGAACCTCAAATCAAAGTTTCAGTGAGTAGTTCTCTTACACATATGGATTGCTTTGTATCAACTTGTATTCAAGCATTTATTTCACTCGGTTGTTGACGGTTATGTATAGCATTAAGCTATTGAAAATTGCTTTACAGAAGACTTTCAACACAATATCTATCTGATTTCATCTAGGTGTTTCCGGCGTTAGCACGCTGATACAAATCATGTAGAAATTGTGTTTATTTGATGTTCTAGAAAACTTTGCTAATTATGCCTGCCGTATCTAGAAGGATAAGCACTCAACATCTTAGTGAAGTTGTACATTTGTGGGTCTAAATATCTTATTTTATGTGCCCTTATTCTAATATCATGAAGCCGTGACCTCCAGTCCAACTGGTGTTTATGTTATGTTAATTACTGAAACTGAAGATATGCATTATAACTCATTCCTCACTACTAGTCATCTGTGTATCCTGAGATCGTAACTTTTACATTACAGCTGTCCGTAATCTTTAAAAATGTGCTGAACTTTGAACAGAGCACTTTGACCAATGGCTTAGCAGATTGAAAGGCGACTTCACTGACTCACATGTAAAGCCTTCAACCGGATCCCTTACTCTTTCAAGCAAAAAAGCAAACATATGTCCACAGAGGTAACTAAATTTACGAAAAGAGAGTACGTTGATATAGATATGCGATCAATATGTGATGAGGCTATTCTTACACCTTTATAGTCTTGAAAATACTATGTATACTTACGAAGAAATTATGATGGTATAAGTCTGTTGAAGGATGAGAAAGAATATCAGGTCTTTGGGAGTAAATACTGATTATATTCAGGACATGAATGAAGTGATTGAAGTGGGCTGAGAAACACGACGTCTCTTGACATCGGGTCTGTATTTAATATGGTGATTATTTGCCTCAAAGGAATCCCCAAACAGAGATATCTCACTTGTGTGCACAATTACCAGTTTCCACTGTTTCGAATTTCAATGACTGTGGCATATATGTCATCAATCGTGCTAGTGAAAATGATATGAAAGCTGTACATCATAGTTTAGATTTATTACCTGGAGAAAAGTTATTTGACGGTGAGTATTTGTCGGCAGTATTAGCTTACAGTTCAGTTATATTACAAATAATTCAAGTCTGACGAGTCCTATACTAGGACGAAACAGCTGTCCAGTGTTACCAGGCTTCCAATGTCATCCCTTGATGAATATCAGGCCAAAACCACTCTTAGTCAGCTGGTAGTTAGGGTTTATAAGAATAGTACTTGCCTTAACTAGTGTAGGGTCATAAATACTAATGTAGATAAACCATTGAACCGAGTCCAGACTATTGTAGTGGAAAAAAATTAGGTGCAAAAAACTTTGATATAAGCAGCTGTTTCCTATTCTTATTAGAGTTGACTTTTTTACTCTGTGATCAGTCATCGCTTTCTCAATATGATGATGACTTGCATATACGTGATACTAAGGGATGACATTGTGTTTAAACAAAATAGAGATTGTTATTCAATATGCTACATTACTTTTGCATGTGGACACTTTTGGCTAAGGTAATTCCCATATACACTATCCACATAGCTCCGGTACCAACTAGTTTCTCTGAGTCTGTGTCGAATTTGAAGAGAAGAAGAGTTGATCAGTTTTATTGTTTTACCATGGAACGATGGGTATTTGCGTCGTGTCAGCTGGTAAGTTGACCTTGTGGGGGCTAACTGATATAATGTATCTGAAGATGCAGCTTGGAATCAAAGGTAGCCGGCATTATCATCTACTTCCCTTTTGCCTAGTATTCAAACAATGCGCACTTTTGGTATACGTCTTATTTAACCATTTCTGTTTCTTTCATCAACCTGCAACAGTATAGGTCTCCTTTCATGCTTTCATAGTCTTCATAATGCTGTTGTACTACGTTGTGGTATATTTCTTGGTTCTCCTGTTGTACAGTGTGCATTACACTCAATAGGTAAACAGTAACATTAAAAAAAACTATTGGGAAAGTTATTAAGAAAATTATACCTCCGATTTACTAAAGCACAGCTATTTTTTCCATCCTAGAATCCATTCGGATGTGATTATCTAATCACTTTTGACGTTCGACCTATTTTCTGACAAACAGATTATCTTTAGGGTTACTGAACTCTACAATACGGCAGAGTAATCCTAATTTCAGTCTGTTGTAATATCTTGTGCATCTCTGAGGTTGATTGGACCGAACTGATCGTTCTGTATTGGTATATGGGCTCTTATGAGAATGCCTTGATATTGCCGGTATTTCTAAACGTGCGTTAAATGAATATACCCGCCTCCCAGTGGGTGACATTGTTCCTGGTAGGGCTCAAACCTACGACCAATCGTTTCGAACGTCAGAGTCCCGCATCTTGGATTCCACTGTTAGTCACTATCCACCAATAATAGTCCTAAATCCAACAAAAGAGATAGAAATTTAACTAATTGTACTCGATGAGGGTATAATCTACGTATAACATTTTTCTACTTCACAGAAATAATTTTAAATTCCCATTAGTGTGGCTTGCAATTAATTCTGGACTAATGGCTTTTATGAAGTTTATACGTCGCAAAAAGAGCGACAAGTATCAAATGAGTTGGTTTCGTGGACATCTAATTCAAGACTTTCCTGAAGACATCGGTTTCTTTTCATTATGAGGTATCGGGATAATGCCAGAAGTACGGTTTTCTCATGTCATACTAGTAGTAAATTGTATAACGTGATGGTCAATGTATTTTCTTGTACAGCAGCTAACCTTAAACTAGGTTTCAAACTAGTACTGATCAAGAATTGCATGTCCATGACACTCGCCAATAGTAAAACAAGCTGCTTTTGAAGTAACCAATCAAAAAAGCGAACGTGGTCATCACGTGGGTGGATGAGCGCATGACAAATATTCCAATTGGTCACGATTTATTACACACGAAGCATTTTCCAATCCCATACCTCTCACTGACACATGCTGCACTCCCATTGGCTATTATTTAAACACGCGAAAATTTATCAAAACGCCACGCTCATATTTAAATTAAAACTTCTCTTTAAACAAACACATTATTGACATGCTTACTATGATTCCGAACACTGATCATACTTGTGGAAATTACACACGTGTACCACCCATTTACAATTCTGCTGAGACAACTACAGCACAAGATGTTTCTACTCATTCGAATGTGACTCATGTTGTTTGTGGGAGTTCAGGTCCTTCTCGAAGAGGTAGACGATCAAATGTTCCACTTGAAATCAGAGAGCAGACACGCCGAGTGAGTTCATATATTATGGTGTTCTCTAAAGTGATTTCTTATATTTTTATTTTAATTAGTGACCACTTGAAATAGGGTAACATGAATGAGTGTAAACTGTGGTTGTGTTTCATAGTAAAATCATATTAGCGGGTAACTACTCCTCGATTATTTTGTTTCAGTAAGAGATATGTGTTCCTCGTCGGAGTACAGTTGAACCTACAATCCTGTTTTAGGTGTTCACTGCGTAGACTAGCTGAACGATAATGAGTATAAAAACTCATGATACCCTATCTTGTCATTCATTTCACTAAAAAGACGTTGTGATGAAGAAATTTACAAATAATGGAAGAGATTTGCAGGTCTAAATGAAGAAGGTGATGCTTTAGTGTTGTATGGGCTTTGGCATGAGGTTTAGTAACAGACGCTCTCAATCCAAACTTCATAAAGATGTCCTGAGATCATTGGTTCCATCGTTTTTCCTGCTGCTTTGTTGTGTAATCTTTCATCCAGTAGAACAGTTCATGGACTATGGTAACATGTTCCTCCGTAATCATTCGTATAGAAATACAATCTGCTCTCGAATTCGTGGAATCATTTCATTTCCGAACGCACAGAAGAGCATTGTACTCGAAAGATTTTGTAATGATCGGAAAAACATATAGCTCAAGTTGAGGATGATAGATTCGGTGCTGAGGATAACAGCAAACCTGATGATGAAACATCTACGACAGTATATCGTTCCCCAGAGAACACTAAGTCTTCATAAATGTTTGTATTTGCTACGCAGAGTTGTAAAAATGAGTTATTTTTTTTAGCTAATTAAGCATAGCTCCTAAAAAAACGGATATTTGTTTATTCAGTTAAACAACTTGTTCAATAACTAATGATCACTGAATTATTTAATGGTTTTCTCATAATGATAATTTTTGTTGTATTTACAGTTAAAGAAACAAAATATGGAACGTAAACGACGTGCATGCATCTCCGATAAAATGAATGCTTTACATAACTTGGCCATTCATCTACTTGGAATTGATGTAAGTATTGTTGCTTTTTATAAGCTGACGATACCTAATTGTATGTACTCTACTTGTGCGACTACCTTTCAGAAACTGTACTGATGTTTTTCATGAATCGTCTTCTACAAACTTACTGTCAAGTAGACTAGCAAGGATAACGGTTTCAGTGATATAATTTCTTTGTGGAAGCTCAGTGATTAGTTCAGCACTATGACCTACTACAGATATCTGGAGAAAAGAAGATTTTAAAGGTCACCCTAGCAATGATCGAAATAACCAATTAGGTTTCTTCATTTCGTCTGGAAAGGTAGATCTTTACATCATAGAGAAGTCTGATTGGTTATTTCAGTTGTTGCTAGGGTGACCTTTAAAATCACTCGATATTTCAGTCAATACACTGAAAGGAAATTTTCCGGGTGTTTTTTAAAAAGTCATGCATCATCTAGGATGGATATTTTTTCGGTGAAGCATCTTACTGGACTTCAGTAATACTAAATGATTGACTAACTAACAGGTAAATAGAATAGGAGTGATGTTAAAGTAAACAAAGTTGTTTGAGAGAATAAACAGTCTGAACATGAAGGTTAGTGCAAATATTCGCGCTTTAGGGGATGTCAAGGAGTTAACACATCTGCACCATTCGACCGATTTTCAACCACGTCACCAAGATTCCTCAATCACTGATTTCTCTCGTCTCCGGGATCCCAACCAGGTAGTCTGCATCTCCCCACACTGCTCAGACCAACAGTAAGGGGTTTCATGCGCTTGTTCCACGTCTTGGTATGGCCACTTTGAACCATCTTCCAACCTAATCCAGCTTCCCCCAGTATCTCAGTTGACTAAGGTTCACACCTTCATCATTGCTCATACGGTGATTCCGTGATCATTACTACACCTTGAAATAAATACAATCCACATAAATCTCGAGCTACATTACTGTTTACTCCTCAATAATGATCTGCTTCAAGATGGATATCCTGAAGTTCTAATTAAAAGCCGTATGTGACCCGTGCGGTCGACCAGTTGGCAGTGGAGTGCATGCTAACTGAAGACTTCAGTGATTAGTCATGCTACGTCAGGAATAGACAAGTAGAAAACTCTGATGCATCGATGTCCGACCCAGTGGTTGAGTGGTCAGTGAGTCCTGTGAGACCTGAGGGTCTTTGAATCAATCCCTGACATAGCGGTGGGTGCGTGCTGTTGAAGATTCCCATACTAGGGTGTAACAACTCTCCAATGCTCCCAGGTTTTCAGTGATTCTTCAAGTGATGTCAGATAGTGATGAATACTACCTTAAAGACTTAAATAATCCTTAACTTTTTCGACATCACTCTAATTGTTTCATTAAGTTACCAACCTAGTCATCATTGTTATACTAGATTAGTCCATTCAACATATATACAATTATACATACGCATAAAGATACTCAGGTTTCATCGCTAACTTCTTATTACAAGTATGCTTGCTTATGTAGTAGTAATTAACTATTGGTTTCAATTAACTTTGGTTAGCGTTATCTTCATTGTTGTTACTGTCTTGTCTTGATTAAGCTTAAAATGAAATTCAATAATGTCTTATTCTTATTCTGATTTATTATTATTGACTTAGTAACTAAATTTCTTAAAACTGTTATTGAGAATACGAGTAATACAAATCTATTGAAGTATTTAATTGTGGAATTCACTCCTCCCCCCCCCCCTCTTAATCCTATCTCTATCCATCCGTGGCACTGAATTCTTCATTCATGCCTTTTCTTAAAGTTGCACAACTAATACTAGTGATTATATATTGGTAGAGAATTAAACTCGTTCAATTAACTACTGATACTTGTAGTTTCTCGTTGTTTTTCTGCATCGATTTGATCGACGTCTGTTGGTTATTTATTGATTATGTTGTAATTTGTTCGGTGATGGTAAGCAGTGGGATCCAGGATGCTTTAAACTTGTGAGCTGGATGATATTGTTCCCACTTAGACTAGAACCCAGGGCCAATCACTTCAAACCCCATAGTGTTATGCCGTCGCATACATTGTACAAGCAGTGGCTACTGTGACTAAGTGCTCTACATGATAACGCTATGATGTTCATGTCTCGAGTGTCAGTGGGAACAACACTCACTGGGGTGTAAGTACACTAACTTACGCCCATCCTGGATTCCAGGGCTAGCCACTATTAAGCTTGTTCCAGTTAGGTCAAATTGCAGCGTATACTGCAGTCTGGTTTCATTTGTTATCTGTGATAAGGCAAGTTTACAAAGTCCTTTCTTGATTCTATCTGTTTGATTAGTAATAGCTTACAACTCTACTGATCATATGGATTTGAAACTTTCAACCTTCAATTTCTTTCCTTTATTGTTATACAGCCCCATGCAGATCACAAAGTTGAAAAGGCTGATATCCTGAATCTGTGTCACAGTGTGTTTGAGGGCGTTGCAAATATCGCCAAAGAGGAACCCGGTAAGTACTGTCCTATCTGTTTTAAACTTATACGATAAATTCTCATGACTCTGTTATAACTTCGACCCCCCCCCCTCCACACACACACACACACACTGTGTATATGCTAAAAGGAGTTGACACAAGCTTTTTTACAATCCCTTCATAGATGGAGAATTCAATGGTTATACACCCTTAGGGTCAACTGTTTCAACCAGGAAAGAGACTCTTCAGCAGTGTGCATCCACGATCCCCACCAGGAACTGAAAGCAGGGCTTTCAGACTACGTGGCCAGCACGTTTCCTTGATGAATTCCAACCTAAGATCAACACATAGTTACTGATTTGAAGAGTTTAAGTATCTAGGGTGTTAAGATAAGTTACTTTTTTAAACGATTCATTAAGAACTGTAGCAACACCTTTTTCTTGGAGACTTACTTCTAATGTACCAACTGATAACGCTCAAAATAAGTTGATCACTACTAGTCATTTTTTATGATAGGGAAATTCTTTACTTTTATTATCCCTAATCTCATGCTTTGAATAGCATAAAACAAGAAACTATGCACAGATTGTTAGGCACTGACGCAGAGAGATAAGCGAATGTTTCAGACGATTATGAACTTTTGAGGATTCTGGAAATCTAGCTAACTATACGATGAATAATACGATTCTTGAAAGAGATGAACTGTAAGAATATGAAAAGCGGAGAATTGTAGATATCATGCAACATAAATTAATGGTGTTTTTACCTCCCAGTTGTTCTTCATACTGGACTGAAGTGGTCGATCCCTGTTAGCATATAAGCTGCTTGGACAGATGTCTTGAAATTATTTGAAGTTTCATCTTGAATTTATTTACATGGTGTCGGGTAACGATGGCACTCAGGGCACGTGTTTCGTCCTGTTGGAAACTCGTCAGCTGAATGTAATTGAATTCATGTAATGATACTTGTAATTTTCCGTTGTTATACAGGGCCGAATTGCTCGACCTCTGTTGGCAGATGGGCTCCTATGAGGATACCTCTATACTGACGGATATTTATGATGTGATATTGATCTTGGTGATTAGCAGAGGAATCCAGAACACGCATTTCATCCTATTTTCGACTCAATAGTCAGCTGGATGCACCTGTAACCCACTCACTCATGTCGTTCCCATCAGTGCTCCAATCCACTACCCATCACTTCACAAACACCAAAGTGTTATCCACTAAGTCATTGGAGCATGATAACCACCTCTTATGCCATGGGTATCAGTTGTTGTAATGATACTTATAATTTTGCTTTGCTATACAGGGCCGGATCGCTCGTTTTCAGAGACACAGGGAAATTTCATTTTGATGGATCCCTGTCATCATGGAAACAGCCACCTCTTGTATTATGAATATATTTCCTTTTGGTGATTGGCTTGAGCCAATGTAATCGGCCTATTTTAGCACATGGGCTGCTGTGAAGATGCATCTAAACATCTAGTGATGTTATTCAGACATCATGAGTGTATACTGGCTAGTAGTGGAACAAGGACACGTTTTTTGTTTTATTCCACAGAATCTTTCTATTCATTTCTATCGTTTCACTTATTTTTACTTCATATCCAACTGTATGAATGTCTCACATTAATTACCCTTTGTTTTTGTTTTGTCTGATTGACAGAATTACGAGAACGGTTAAAAAGATTACGCAATACCTTGAATGAAGTATGCTTATTTCGTACATCGTCATCATCATCCAAAAAGACTACAGCAGACGACACTTCCTCTTCATATACTGATCAAATTATGCCAAATACTTTGGAGTTGAATCACCAAGATAGGCATTCGTATAAACAACTTGGTGATCATCACTCCTATAGTAACCAAGATAGACAACACCCTCAAATGAATACTATTCAGTCGTTCAATACACCATTATCGCCATTATCATCATCATACTCTAGATCAAATCGAATGGATTTCTGTCTAAAAGCTGATGAAGACAATAAAGAAAATAAAGTATCACAATCTGTTGTTAGAAAGCGTTCATTGAATAAAAACTATGCATCATCAGTTGCTGTAACTACTCTAACACCTTCTCTGGCATCACCACCACCTTCTTCTGTTTGTTCGACTCCACTAAAATGTTGCCAATCGGTGAATGTCACATTTTCACATGACAATCGAAAAACAACTCACTGGCAATCAACACCTCTACAATCTGCCAAAAAATCTTATTCTTTATTAAATAATTCTGATAGTGGTTATTTTGATCACAGGGACTATAGTATCAATGGTAGTCAATCGATGAGATTAACACCAAATACATCTAACATCAATACATTGTACAAACCAACAGATATTCATGCTAAGTCTATGCATACAAATGATATTTCTGTAAGAGGTATAAGTGTTGTCCAATCACCATGTCGTTTATTGACAGATTCCACTAGGAATACACCATACTCATCATCATCATCATCATTGTTTGGCGAGAATTTATCAGCATTCAGTGTACCGAGTAAAAGATTGACCAGTGTCGCCATGAATAATTCATCATCTTCACGTAGTAACTATCGAAATCCACATCATGATGTTAATACTATGATTACCACTACCTGTATAAACAATACCGTAAATTGGACATCGATTCCGGATACTACTAAGACTACAATTATTAATAGTACACCGCCTATGTGGAGACCATATTTAGATTAAACCATAGTTGGTTTCATTTTTTATTTATGTACATAACTGTGCCAAACACTATTACTTCCAATCTGTTGAATATCTTTTTCAAACTTTTGTGAAGGGAGACGAGATAGACTATTTTAGTAGATCCTGTACAGATTTTCATCTTAAGTTTTTCTTTTATTATTTTTCTTATGAAATATATTGAATGTTGTTTTTAAACTTATGACTGTAATTACCTATATTGGATTATATAAAAGGGTTCTAAGTACATTTTGTGACTTTTAGTTTAATGCCAGTAAATTTAGTACAATAAAAGACTGGTGAATATCAAATCCACCACCCTGCCAAAGATCAAGCTCAGGAGCTTCATTTCTTACTGCTAACATGCTGAACATTCAGTCATTGGGTCATCAGGGTCTTCACTTCCAACTGATAAAGTCCATGGGTCACGATTTCTCATTAGAATTTCCGAGTATCCATCTCGAAACAAGTCATCAGTCAGTGCTAAACAGTAATTTAGTCTGAGCTTTATACGAATTTCATCTTCTAAAAGGGAGTATTCATCATGAATTCACATATACCCTGAAATTCTAATGAGAAGTTGTGACCTGTGGAGTCAACCAGTCGGAAGTGAAGTGTATGTGAACTGAATACCTTGGCGGATAGTAGTGCTATTTGGAAACTGTAGACCACTCAATTGTTACCTTACCTTACATGATTAACGTGTTTGCTGTGAAACCTGAAGGTTCGGGGTTCAATCTGTGGTGTGGTCATGGGTGTGCACTATTCAAGAGTCCCATACTAAGCCGAAACAGCTGTCCAGTCTTCCCAGATTTCCAATGTTCCTCCAACTGATGTCAGTCCAAGATGAATACTAACTTGAAATCATTAAATCCCAATAATCCCCTAAATTAAACTTTTGAAATTACTACTTAGTAATTAAGAACCCTTGAATGTAGACTAAATAAGGTAATCCATCTAATCGAGCAACAAATTAAGTACTAAGGATGGATATCAGTAGAATTCAGGATGTTTCGTCCATTTCTTGACTCATCAGCTGAATTTTATGATAACAAGCGCCATCTTGTTATAGAATTCAAGTGATCTGTCATCATTCACATATGTCAGTGAAACTTTCATCAAATCAATCATTTAGCAAAGTATAGTCATGTGGTTAGTACAAGAAGTAATTCAATAAAAAGCATAGGTTTCTTTTATGAGGTTATATGCAGAGAATATGATGCTCTTGGTATCTTTATTTTTCTAACTTGGTTAGTTGATAGGACTAATGATTTGGTATATATAAGGTGTTTACATTTCATCTCTAATATGATTCATGTGAATACTATTCTGAAGGTGATGTTGTGTATGTGGACAGATTGAGATTAATGCGTGAGAACTTAACCAAAATTTGACATTCACTATAACTTCAGTCAGTATTTCTTTAGGGAACTGTAATATTCAGGTGTACACAAAGAAAATATACATAGTAAAGTACAGTTATTCTGTATTGATTTGTATGATCTTCTTTAGATGTCTACATATCCTTCAATGTTTAACAAGGCGTCGAATGATACAACTTTAATCTATAATAAACCACGTACAATTGTACAACTGTAAAGTATTTATCGGGAAAACTTAACGAGGTTAACAGAAATCACGTATTTTTCTAAGTTTATAGAATTTTTTTCTCCCTCCTACCAGTCTATAACTAACTGTTCTTATCCCACGGAAAAAGTGTCAACATCACCAGTATTTCAATAGGCATTACAACTGTTTATATAAATCTCTGTCATTTCAGTAAAAATAAATAACTAATGATCAGTGATTATGATAGATATGGTATATAGACAATTGTAAGTCACTTTGGATAAACAGTATTCAGATTATCGTGCCAATTACAGAATCTACTAAATAGTTGAAGTATTCAGAATAGTCAACAGGGGAAATAGTTAATTACAGACAATATTTAACCGTAGTTGGATATCCATTCGTTTTGTAGAGTTTATCATGTAAGTTGATATAATGGCCAATTCCAAATCCCTACCGAGAATATGAGGTGTGCACGGCTGAAGAGTCCCATACTAGAACGAAACAGATATCCAGTTCTCTCAGGTTCTCCATGTTTCAGTCCGTGATGAATCGTCATTAATATCAAAATAAGACTAGGCATTACTGCACAATAGTTCAAGTTGCCACATCTCATATCATCATGATAAGTAATAAAACACTAAGATGAGAGATGAAGAAAGAGGGGGTAAATCGGTCAAAAACAGTAGAAAACAATAAAAGAAAGAGAAAATGCTGAATTTAGTAAATCGGCCTAGATGAAGATAATGTGTGGATAAATCTGCTTCACTGACATTGATTTTGAGTCATATCACCCGGATTCTCAAAACATTGGTTGTCAGGTAGACCTCAACCGGTTAGTCTGAACCTCCCGATATGACTGAAACTAACAGTCAAAGACTTTATGCAATGATGCCGTGTTTTTAGTCTCGTCAACCAAGCCTTTTTTCCAGTCTCCAACTTCTTTAGCTAACATTGGACCTGATGAATACCAACTTGAAATCAATAAAATCCAAGTCGGACGGCAATGGATGATAGTTGGGTTACATCACGAATTGACATGAGGAAGTAGAAAAATATAGACGACTGGATTCCGACCCAGTTTCTCAGTGCCAACTTGATGGCCACAGAAACTGAAGGTTATGTTGAGGAATCCCAGGTTCTCACTTCTTCTCTAACTCATGTCAGTCTATGAGGAATACCAACTTGGAATCAATGAATAAATCTCAACAAGCTTGCAAACTGAATTCTCAGTTAAAACTGAAAATTAGTCAACAAGTAAATCTGCAGTGAGAAAATGTAATGTTCAAAAAACAAAGTAAGGTGTGATTAATACTGATGAAGGAATCCAGAATTTCAGTATACTTATACGAAGAAAAGATTTATGTTTTCTGGAACCATTCCTGGAATTTAAGCCAAAATTCATCAGGTCTCATGAGTACCATACTACACTTAGGTTAGAAGTCGATATTTTCCAAATTCAATTATCCATATGATGACTTATTCGTAATGAAAAGTGTATGGTGTAATTTACTTGGCAGTAGCCTGGAGTGGCACTTAGGAAGTCCCTGCGTTTCTCAAAACGATCAAATACACAGGTCAAGCAATCCCCCCCCCCCTGTATAGCAAAGCAAAATTAAAAGTATCATTACAACAACTGATACCCATCGCATAAGAGGTGGTTATCATGCTCCAATGACTTAGTGGATAACACTTTGGTGTTTGTGAAGTGATGGGTAGTGGATTGGAGCACTGATGGGAACGACATGAGTGAGTGGGTTACAGGTGCATCCAGCTGACTATTGAGTCGAAAATAGGATGAAATGCGTGTTCTGGATTCCTCTGCTAATCACCAAGATCAATATAACGATTGAATGATCACTGGAGTAATTATGTTCTCAAGCTTAAATAAATTTTGAAAACAGTGGAGATCACAGTAAACCACAGTTGGTCATTGTTGGATAGTTGAAGGTAGTCGATAGGAAGGCCTAGACTTACATTTCGTGTCTACTGAGGAAAGCCAGCAAGCACGAAACCTAACGTCTAGACATCTAACATCAATTGAGGTGCATCATGATACCGGTTCTCCCAGCTTAAGGAACCATATTACAAAGTGATCAGTAGGATTTAGTCAGTAGTTAGGATTCGACAATATGAAATCGTTTGTTGTCCAGTGACCGATGTCGTAACTTTACGTAGTCTGAGTTTAAATGGGATTTTTATGTTAAAGATTTCACTCACTATGGGCTGACATCGGTTTGGAAACCTCTGAGAACCTGGAAGCATTAAACAGTCCTAGTAGGGGACACCTTAGAAGTATGCACCCATGACTTTGCTAGGGATCGAGCCCAGCACGTTAACATTCAGTGGATGGTGATTGGCAGCTGATCAACTTGAAGTTAACTTACTTTGGGGTTAGTTGGGGAATTAGAGAAACCTAAAAAATACTATAAAAGTGTTCAGCAGTCAGAAGCTTCTACATTTACTCAAATATTATCCTAGTGGTAAAATCTATGTAAGTGTTTTAATAGGGACCTCGGTGATAAATTGTCGACGGAACGTCATCCAGTAAACAATACTATAGTATCAGGTACCGTTTGATACAGAAGAATTGTCAGAGCGTATCATATCTATTTCTTAGAATCTTGAAGAAGCCAGAAGTTGCCGAAAACATTTGAGGACAAATTAGATAACTCAGAAGTTTCGAATTCGATTACTACTCGAAATTCAGTGATAGTAATCTTTGAAAATGCTCTTAAAATCTTCAAGGTCACCTGTAAACATTCAAACAGTCTAGAAATAGTCATCTCCATTTTCAAGGAATTGAACGACAAATGAATTCAAATCTGAAGGCAGTTGTCCAAATTTTTGCCAATCTCTGAATATTCAGGAAATATAAAGTGGACACGGTGATGAGAAGCAAGAGCGGCTATTTATATGGAGTAATTTGAAACTGTGATGAAGTTATATATCAGAAGATTTGATGAGATAAATCTGGAGTCTAATGATATGCTACTCAAACTCTGACTGTAATTCAGCCATCATCAACATTTTATAGAACTTTAAATTCCTTAAGTAGTTCCGATAATTAGTTGAACTCATAGATTTCAAGAAGGTACAGGTGAATATCGAAGGTTTGAAAATCTTAAATATCCTACCGAAATGGTTATAAGTGGTAGTAACCTCTTAGGTATCCATGAGACTAATCATCCTATTTAATCAGATAATGTTAGCTTCAACTGATTCAAAACCTACTGTTGTGTACTGTTAATACAATGATTGGCATTTTTTCAGTGGTTCTTTCTTTCCAAATACCATATTTGCACTAAAAGGTCAACAAAATGTCAAGAAGATTATAATACTGAAATAAAATTAGTTCTAAGAGTCGGGTTGTGAATTATTATTTTTGGCAGTTTACATTCAATTAGCAATTCATAGGTTCGAGACCCTCAACA